TCAGGCTTCAATTTTGTTCACATGCTCAAAACCACATTTTGGTTGATTCGTGGAAACTGTTTAAAGTCAAACAGGCCCTACTGGTTGAGACTGTGCAAGGGGTAGCTGAGGTGTCAAAAAAATATAAGCACAGTTAAACCACAACCAACTTTGCTCACTTTCAAAAGGTCACAGCTAATGGAAGAGAAGATCTCTCTACCCAGGCATGTAAATGTTATCAAACATATTAGGCTGTGGGTCATGGTTCCCCATTATGGAAGTATATGCAAGTGCACACTCAGTTGTTTCAGTCGTGTCTGACTCTGCCACTCTATGGACTGCAGCCTGCCAGGCTCCTCTGTCCATGGGGATTCTCCAGGCAAGAATACTGGAGTGGGTTGCCATGCCCTTCTCCAGGGGATCTTCCTGACCCAGGGATCGAACCCAAGTCTCCATTGTCTCCTGCATTGCAGGTGGATTCTTTACTGCTGAGCCACCAGGGAAGCCCATTTAAATATACAATGCCTCCAATTAGCTCCTAAGTGAGTTGGGAAACTTACACCCAGAATGTTCAGATGCTGCACCTTCGACCATGCCCTTGACCCTGAAGGAAAGAGCAGACAGGACTCCTTGCAGCACTAAGATCGTCCTTGACATTCCACCAGCCGCTTGTGCTCTTCCTTAATCTGAGATTTACTGAGGCTGGTACGTCTTGGTTTCATTTTCTCAGTGTAGATGGGAGGACACAAGACCCAATCCCTGAACCAAGCTGCATGGACAGATGTGAGATGCTTTGTTCTCACGAGAAAATAGACTTGGAAGACCAGGGTTGACCTGTGCAATTGAGTGTCATATACTGAGTCACCCAAGGCCCCATAAAGGCACTAAATGACTTTAGAGTCAACCTGAGCAAGGCTTACTAGCAGATAGTAAATCAGATGACAGTGTGACAGGTGAATAACAGAGGGTTGTTCAGCAATGTGAGCATGAAGAGCAGGTGTCCACCCACACACACACCCAGCAGGTCCAGAATGGGGCCCAGACCCTGCACTCCATCCATCCAGTCCCAGAGGGAAGCAAGGCTTCATGGCTGAGGTCAAGGCTTCAGCTCTCACAGTCCGACCACAGGGCACATTCAAGTCACATCCTCATTTCTCTTGTCTCTGCTCTGAAAACCAACATCTAGGGGGCCATGCCCTCCTAGGAGGACTAGCCAAGTCAGACTGGTCCAGCCCAAGACTTTGGGGGAGAGCTCTTTCTCAGGTTAAAATCACACACTGATGTCTGGCTCAGGCCCCAGCTATGATCATGGTGTAGACACGGGTTCACTCCTGGGACAAGATGCTCTCATCGTAATGACACCACTGAAGTCTTGAGGTTTTAGTCCAAGGCCAGACCCAGGAGCTCCCACCTCCCCTCTCTCCATGTAAGAAGCTCCCCCTGGTGAGGCCCAGCTCCCCAGGGAGCCTCCAGCTGCATTTCTGTCCTGTGGCACATTCTTAGACTGAGCATGGGTGGAGTCGATTGAGATCCACACAAATGACCATTTCCACCCAAACCAGTGCCATTTTATCTATACACAACTAAGTGTATCTTGAATAACACAATGAATTTTTAAAAAATAATCCAAAAATGAGTATACATGCTGCCTTCCTATGAAGCATTATATTGAACTTTCTTGTTTGAAAAAGAATAACTCACAATATAATTGAGCTTATTTTAATTTAAACCAACTAAATACAAGGGAAAATGATGGCAATGATTTCGTGGTGTAGTTTCAAAGAAGAGTATCCAGACTAATTTAGATCATTCTCTTAAGAGAAAGATACTGTTTCTGGAGACTTTTGGTATGTATTCATAATCCCTTGTGTCCCCCTTATACACATTAGGCCAAATGCATGATGCAAAACAGGAAAAATAAAACTAATTATTTTGATATGTAGGAACTTGTTACTTTTTAAAACTGTACAAAAAGGGCATGTGCATGAGTTTAAAAAAAAAAAGGCAAGACAAATGTAGGGTCTTAAGAAATATTGGAGTAGGAAATGGCAACCACTCCAGTATTCTTGCCTGGAAAATTACATGGACAGAGGAATCCAGTGGGCTACAGTCTGTGAGGTCCCAAAGAGTTAGATACAACTGAGCACATACACTAAGAAGAAATATAAAAGAAATCTCAGACATGAAACAAGAAATTTCATCCTGCAAGTCAAAATAAAAAGATGTTTTGCTTATGATGAGATACTACTGGCAGCTTTTCATTAAGAGATCAGATTCAGTCTCCTCTGAATACAGGGTAGACCGTGACATTCTCTTACCATCCTCAGGCAGGTGACTAAATGGATATGGATATGGCACTATGTTGTGAGATACTACAATCAATAAATTCTTTATTAGCTGTTCAATAACATCAGCAGTGAATGTCACCTTTTCAGCCTTCAAAAGGAAGATCTCATCTCTGGTGTTTTTCTCTTTTTTGGTGACTTTCAGTGAGGGTTTTTTCACAGTTAGAAAGAGAGAAAATAAGAATATTTGAGATGTGGTGTAAAAAGGCAAAGTGCTACATTTTGCCCTACGTTTTCATGAAGAAGTTTATGTACTGTACATGGACTCTGTTTTAGACACTTAAAGAACCATATGAAAGGCTATCAAAGGATTTATTTTTAGAATAAATTTTAGAAAGGGATCGACTATTCACATGCCCACATTTTTGTTTTATGTCTGAACACTATTGAAGAAAGACAGGTTGAAGTACGTTGAGTACCACTGATGCAGTGCAAGGCTTCCAACTGCCACTGCTTGTCTTTCTTTCCACTGTTGTTCTTCTATGTAGATGTCACCTCAATTGTCACTTTATTTTCTACTAAACATTTTACCACAGCTGAGCTATACATCTCAGGATGGTATAAATGATAGTCCCAGAATACTCTTTCAGCAAGTATTCCATTAGCTTTATATTTGGCCCCACACCTCACCAAAGCCTTCATTTCAGGACACTGAGTCTTTCATCTAGGTTGCAGCTGAGCATGTCTGACTTTGTGCTGCAGAAGAGAAGCTCAGGAACTAGGCCTGGTGCGCATGCTGAGGGACTCACAGCTTCCCTGCCCAACCCAAGTCCGCTTTCCTCAACATACCCTCACCACCCCTTCTCCTGGGCTTCAAGGCAAAATTAGCCTGAAAATTAGCATAGCTATACACAATACTGAGTGATTTTTTTAAAATACATATTAAGGAGGCCCTGGGTACAATCAATATAACTGGAAAGGAACCTGTATTTCAGTTGGAAGTGATTGCTATCTTTATTCTCGAAGCTTCATTTCAGGTGGATCCTTCAGCTGATCCCTCCCAGTACCCTATCTTTAAAATTTCTGAGGATTTGATGCAGAGATAGGGGGACCTGGCCCTGTCCCCAGGTCCTCACTGCCCCCTGGTTCAATTTAGGAGTCCTCCTTTGAACACACGCACACACACCTGATTCTCCAAAACTGCAATCTTCCACATAATTTCCATGTTAAGTGGACCCCAGACACCATTTACCAGAAACTGTCCAGATTCAGTCTTCCTTAGTGATTCAGGAGGTAAAGAATCTACCTGCAATGCAGGAGACACAGGAGATTTGGGTTCGACCCCTGGGTCAGAAAGATCCCCTGGAGGAGGGCATGGCAACCCACTCCAGTTTTCTTGCCTGGAGAATCCCATGGACAGAGGAGCCTGGTGGGCTACAGTCCCTGGTGTCACAGGTAGTTGGACACAGCAGAATGACTGAGCATGCACACACATCCAGGTTCAAGGTAAACAATAAGCCCTACCATTTCCTGAGCTCTTTCTCTGCCTCTGGGACTGGACCGCACACTGTGCTCACATGTTCCTGTTTACTCTCCATGCAACCCCATGACTTCCCTTTTCACAGATGGAAAAAAAGGAGGTGAAACCCCTTGCCCAAAACTACACAGCTATCATATTATTTGGAAATTTTAGTCTCCCTCTGATGGTACCCTTGGAGGATACAACCCAATGCTGGCTCAGATAGCAAGCAGCAGGACTTTTCAGCAAGGATGGTTGTTCTGGGCTTGTCTTTTCCTTCCAAATTAGCAGGGCACTCACTGCTCTGTGGGAATAAAGTGGCCAGAGAGAGCATGAGATTTGTCTCCAGCCAGACCTGGCTTCAAATCCCAACCTAATTCTTCTTGGGCACACAGTGACTTAAAAACCATCTCCTTTGGGGAAGGGATAAATTAGGAATTTGAGATTAATATATACACACTACTATATATAAAATGGGCTTCCCTGGTGGCTCAGTTGGTAAAAAAAATCCACTTGCAATGCAAGAGACCAGGTTTGATCCTAGGTTGGGAAGATCCCTTGGAGGAGGGCATGGCAACCCACTCCAGTATTCTTGCCTGGAGAATCCCCATGATCAAAGGAGCCTTGTAGGCTACAGCCCATGGGGTCGCAAAGCAAAGGACACAACTTTGACTAAATCACCACCATATAGAAAATAAACAACAAAGACCTACTGGATACCACAGCGAACTCTACTCAATATTCTGTAATAAACTATATGGGAAAAGAATCTGAAAAAGGATATATATTTTGTTTTAACTTTTATTTAAGAGTACAGTATAGTACAGCAAAGCCGTACAGCTGAAACGAACTCAACATTGTAAATCGACTATACTCTAAAATAAAAGTTAAAACAAAATGAAATAAAATAGCCCCAGCTTTCCCATTTCTAAACCGAAGATATTATTTATCCCACAAGGTTTCAGGATTTAATAAAACAATGAACATAAATCAGTTAGCCCACTGCCAAAATACATTTGATGCCCAATCACCGACCTCTGTATTCCTATTTTATTACTCCACCAATATCGTTAGTGCTTCTCAGAACTTTCTCGTTTATCATTCCACCGCTCACCCTGTGGTCGGACTCCTGTCTCCTCCCTCTGGCTCCTCCCTCCTCCGCCCCTCCCTTATTTCTCTCACCAGTTACCCCCGGTAGCCTGGGAGCAGCCCCACTCAGACCCTTACCTGACCTCCATCACACACCCAGGTGTGGAGGCTCCGGGCAATCTGAGCCCCACCACCATGGGCTCTTCCCTCGGGGCAGGGGGCAGAGCCGTGCTGGGCCGCCTGGCCCTCCTCTGGGCCCTCGTGGTTCCAGGTGAGTGCCCGCGCCTTCCCCTGTGGGCTGGGCGGGACGCACCCGGAGCCTGCGGGCTCAACCTGCCCTCTTCCCATCCCTTGCAGGTATCCAGCAGGACTTCAGGGTGCTCCAGTCGTCCATGATGGTGGGGCACGCGGGCAGAGCTATCACTATGTCCTGCCGGGTCAGTAGCTCTGTGGATTACGTCCACTGGTTCCGCCAGCTGGAGGGCCAGGCCCCCGAGAGGCTTCTCTATCTAGCCTTGTCCAAGCGGGATGTGCAGTGGGATTCGGTCCTAAGAGGTGATAAAGTCAACGCGGCCCGCGGCACCGACGGCAAGAGCTGCACCATGTCCTTGATGAAGCTGGCGAAGAGCGACGAGGGCATGTACTACTGTGCTGCCTGGAGATCGGCACAGCAGTGCGCGCAGCCCCGGGATCTGCACAAAATGCTCCGAGACCCACCGCTCGCCCAGACCTGGCACCTGCTACCGCCTCCTGGTCCCTTAGGTTCCCCTGGGGTGATCTCTCAGTATCCTGACCACTCCCCGCACTCGAGGGCTTCTGCAGGTAAAATCTGATGGAAGCTGAAGCTGACCCGGGTAAAAAGCTGTGCAGATGGCGGGGACTTTTCTAAAGATGGTCCAGTTCAGCTTGTCTGCAGCATTTGGAGGAAAACCTGAGCTGCCCAGTCCACCAGCTACTGAACACATCCAGCTATTGAGCCCTTGAAATGTACTTAGTTCAAGAATCCAAGCTGAGATGGGCTGTATGTCTATAACACACGCTATATTTTGAAGATAGTCGCAGAAAAAAGAAGTGGAATATCTCCTTAATTATTTTTATATTGACTTACTGTTGAAATATTTTGGATATCTTGGACTAAGTAGAAATAGTCCTAATATTCGTTTTAAGTGTCCTTTTTTTTTAATGCAGAAGCCAAAACATTTTCATGTATGGATTGAATTGGTGACTCACATTTATTTCTAACGGATAGCTCTGGTATTGACTGAAAATATAAAAATCTGACCATTTCCCTCAAAGGATGCATAGATAAAATGTCACATAAATGATTTCAAGGATGAAGGACTGTGGAGCTGCCACAAAATGTTTGAAAGCTGAGCCTGGAAGTGTATGCCTGATTCCAGTCTCTAAGTTTTTCACCCATTGTTACCATTTTGCAGGGGAAGAGACAGCAGTTCGAAGCCCAGGAAACAATATTGGCAATGTCTCAGCGTCCTCATCTATTGGCATTCCTGACATTCTTGAGTTTGAGTTGATAAAAATCCTCATGGTGATGCAGTTAACCCTGGATGAGACATCAGGTTCTCTGCTTTACTCTTCTCTTTGTTTTTTTCTTTTTAATTTAATTTATTTTCCTTGAAGTATAGTTCACAATAGTCAAAACATGCAAACAGCCTAAACTTCCATCAACAAATGAATGAATAATGTCAATAAGTATATGCCTCTGATCTCTGCATTTACAGGAAAATCACACAAATCACTTATCACTATATTCACTACCTTCTTACGAAAAGAAGGAAAAAAAAAAAGCCTGTGTCACTGATTCTTCAACCCCAAAACAGGAAAGCCCCTGATGTTGTATGAGGGAGAGAATAAAATCTTTTTGAAGTTTAAGCTGAATTTAGACCCTTTTCAAGTGGAAATTCAAAGTTTATGTACAGCTTAATAGCAATGGTAAAACAATGAATAAAAGGAAAGTGTAAAAAATTTTGAATTGGTCCTGCAGATTCCTAAACTCATTGTCTACCTCCCTGAGCTCCGATTTTGCAGTTAGAAATGTATAATTCATATATGCTTTCCTTCTGAAAGAGCCCAAGCCCCAACCCTTCCCTGGAGGCCTAATTCAAAGCTAAGGTCCCCCAGTATGTGTTAGAAGAGGCGGAGGTAAAGGGGACTCTAGCTCTGCTTCACGTTCATTTACTTCATCTTCCCCATCATCCTAATACAACTCCTTCCTGTTCTTGCAGCCACACCAATGCCAGACTCCACAGAGAGTGAATTTTTTTTAACTGGTGACAGTGTGGCCAACAAGAACCAGCTCTTCACCCATGTCCTTACAGAGCTATTAATACATGGTCCACAGTCCCCAGGAAGAGACAGCCCAGTGCCCCTGCTGCGAACCTCGACTGTGGCGTGAACCCTATTCTCACCCCTCACTGACTCCGGCTTTTCACTTACGAGCTCTGTGACCTTGAGCAAGATCTTCACGCTTTTAGGCATCAGTTTTCTCAGGTCTAAAGCAGAATATAACCGTTCCAAAATGTCTCTCTCTTGGAATTATACCACTTAATGTCAGTTGCAACCTCCACGGTGATAGATTAGCTCTTCTCTGCATGAAAATCCTACTGAGACATATTTAGAAACCTAGAGTATATCTTTCTTGGGTGATCTTGTTTTCAGGGTAGTCACTGCCAGGATGAAAGAAATGGTCCCAAGACTGTCACTTACTTTGGGAAGCATTTTAGTTAGTCTGTCTCTCTCGAAGTGAGGGATGTAGGATGCCAAAGGTATGGCTGTGCATTGTGCTGATGCCCCAGGTCATGTTCATTGAGGGCAGTGTGATAGAGTAGAATAGTAATAGATTTTTACTAACTTTTTAAAAACTTTATTGGTATATAGTTATTAATTTTTGAATCAAACTTTTCTGACATTAATTTTCCATACCTCTTTGGCACAGGAGAAACAGGACATTTACAGTCAGCTCCTTCCTTGCTCAGATTAGGTGTGAGATGGGTGGGGATCTCCCTGAAGGACAAAGATGGGTGTGGCTGCCCCACAGCCTTGACCATGAAGCTCCATCACAGAGTGTATACTGGGAGGCAAGGCTGAGATCTCTAGGACCCCATGACAGAGAGTTCTTCTGTCAGGAGATGCCAATGACATCATTCAAGTCAAGGAACTAAGGGGATGCAAAGGGTGTACCCCAGTCCACATTAGGTTCCCTCCGTGGTATCTCTGTGACCTGCCTCCTTCCAAAAAGAGAAGGAACAGAGAAGAAGGAGATACAGGTCATGGATCCACTGAACTCCTGTGTTATATCTGGATTGTGCTATTCATCTTCCTTATAATGATGTGAGACATCATTATATATAATGATGTAAGATATGTGAGACACAAAACGTGTTCTTACTATGTTTTCAGAGTTAGAACACTGAGTGTTAGATAGCGAATATATCAAGCAGGTAATAGGCAAAATTGTAATTAAAATCACTTTGTTGTACACCTGAAACTGACAGAACATTGTTAATCAACTATATTCCAAAAGGAACTAAAAATTGTTTTAAAAAGAATGAAAAACAGTATTGAATGATTCCATGTTCCCTACTGTAGCACACTGTGGGCACTTGGTATTACAGAAATGTTCGCATACCAGCTCTATCATTTTCTACTTGATCATCCATCCTTATGTTACATCCCCATCTCTGTGGAAACTTGTTTCTTGGCTCAAAATACCATCATTTACATAAAAGGAGCTAATGAGTGTAACCATTTTTGAAAATATAGTAAAAGCACTATATTAAAGAATTATAGCTTTATTTTAACATTTTCATTTTGTACCAATAATATATATCATATAGATTTATCTCCACAGGGAAGGCACTATGCTTGATGCAGTAAGGGATTTAACAATGACAAGGTGAGTCTGGAGTGGACATGGGGATAGTCAGGGTCAGTCCTGTCTGTGTCCTGGCAAATGAACAGCTCATCTGTACTCAGAGGAGCATTCAGCTGCTTCTGGCAATTGCTTTTTCTCTTTATCCAATTGAGTGGCTTAAGATTACAGAACAGTCTGGAAGACATTTCTTTCATCATAAGAGAACTGGCCTTAGCTCTCAAATTTTAGTTTAAATGAGGAATTTATAATTTCAGGTAAAATAGTATTCTACTAATTTCTTCTTTTAGCCTATGAAAGATAATAAGTCATCACAGAACTTGTGTTCTCATTTCTAATTATTGTGGTAAAGAATCATATTGCCTGTCACTAATTATTATAGAAATACAAATCAGAACAATGAAGATTCACCTCACACTAGTCAGAATGCATCATTAAAAAGTCTACAAATAACAAATTCTGGAGAGATGGTGAAAAAAAGGAACCCTCTTACACTGTTGATGGGACTGTAAATTGCTGCAGCCACTGTGGAGAACATTATGGAGGTTCCTTAAAAAACTAAAAATAGAGTTGCCATATGATCCAGCAATCTCACTCCTAGGCATATATCTGGACAAAACTATAATTCAAAAAGATATATGCACCCAAATTTGATAGCACCAATATTTACAATAGCCAAGACATGGAACCTACCTAATGTCCATTGACAGGTGAATGGATAAAGAAGAGGTTGTATATATACACAATGGAATACTACTCAGCCCTAAAACAGAATTAAATAACACCATTCGCAGTGACATGGATGGGCCTAGAGATGATATGCTAAATGAAATCAGACACAGTAACACAAACACCATGTGATATCACTTATATGTGGACTCTAAAATATGACACAGATGAACTTATTTACAAAACAGAAACAGACTCACAGACATAGAAAACAAGCTTATAGCTACCAAAGGGGAAAGGGGTGGGAAAGGGATAGATTAGGAGTTTGGGATTAGCAGATATAAACTATTACATGTAAAATATATAAACAATAAGGTCCTACTCTATAGCATAGGGAACTGTATTTAATATCCTGTAATAAACATATTGGAAAATAATATATATATATGTATATGTATATATACATATATATGTATAATTGAATCACTTTGTTGTAAATGGTCTATTAAGTGACAAACACTTTTCTGAATTTTCTCTATCATTTAAGATTTTAAAAAAATCATTCTCCTTTCTCCAATAACTTGCAAAACATGTATTATTGGTTTTCATCTTAGAAACTGACAACATTGTAAGTCAACAATACTCTCCCTCCCCCCAAAACAGAATCATGTTACCCGATGAACGGAGAACTTTGTCCACATTTCTCAAGTACACGTGAATTGGCAAATTTGCATTTTCAGTTACTGAAGAGTTTCCTCCTTTCAGAAATATATTGCCAAATCACTAACTGAGCAGCCCTGGTGTTTGTGAGAACGGAAGAGCTTTTCCTTTGGTGTGAACTCTGAGCAGTTTTAACACAGCTGAGCACCTGGAAATTTTTTTAAAAGTCTTGATTCTTTGAATACTCTTCCTGGAAATGTGGGAAAGCAGAACAGGTGGTTAACCTGCTAGTGTCAAACTCTTCTTTTCCCGCTTTTATCCTTTTCATTTTTTATCAGTATTGTCAATGATTAGTCCACCATGGAAAACAGATATTTGGGCCCATTGATCTGAGGAAANAGAGACAAGTGAAATAAAGATGGGATATAGTTTTCAACATCCACTTTATAAAATGGAAGAAATGATCTTTAATCAAACCCATTTATACTGCCAGTTCATCAGTGCTATGGATACCATAACATTTACTGTCATTCACAGATGGTGACCCTCAGCAGATAGGGTCAGGCAGGTAAGGTTTTCACAATCCAACATGACAATAATAGGATTTGAGAACCAGGCATCCTAACGTTTCTCTTATCATCCTGCCTTGAAGGCCAAGAGTTGCAAGCTGAAATCTATACATGAGCTGGAGAGAAGTCAGTCTGAGGCTGAAATTTCTAGTAAAAGCTTGGAAAAATATTAATTGTGCTATTGATTGGACAGGAGGGGGAAGCCGTTTGTTTGGGACTACACAGGTGAAGTAATTCCATATATTGACTATACGTATTAGGCTTTAGCCAATGTTCCCTTTGAGTTGCTTAACCCTGAAAATATAGTGGGTAAGACTAGACAAACAATTGCCTTTAAGTTGTGTGTATGAAAAGCACGTGTCCTGTGACAATGGCTTTGAGAATTCCTGACATGTGGAGCATAGTAGAAGGCAAAAAAAGGAACCAATCTTCACAGTTAATTGCCACAGACTCAGTTGTAACCCCCAAACACCGAATTCCCATCAGTAAGGGCAAGCCCTGGTCCCAAGATATTAAAATATTATGTTGGAGCACACAGTCAGCTAATAATAAGAAATCACTAATAATAATGATAGTAATAATTATTATGGTCTTTCTTTTCCATAGCATTTTTAATAAAATCACTTTTTCATATCTTGTTTCATATTGGTCTCACTTCAGCATTAAAAGGGATGTCGAACTGATTCATGCTAACACTGTGTTTTCAAATAAACAAACACCAAAAGCTTTAATTAATCTGATTAGCTTAGCCATGGAACCTGTTATGAGCAAAGTGAATCAGGACCAGAAACTTGGCCTCTTTTATCCCAGGCTGTCATGATTCCAATGGGATTTAAAGAACTCAGAGAAGCTAAATTAGTCTAAAGTTTTTGCCACAGGTTGAATCACTGTGGAATTTAAACAACATGATCTTTGGTGATGGAACAAAAGTTTTCGTCCTAGGTAAGTACCTGAAGAAGGGCATTTTTTGTCAAGGTAGTGGAGGGAAGGCAAGAAACAAATTGGAATAATAGTTTAAAATTTTTGGGAAAATGGGAATGCAAATGGGGATTAGATGTAGGAGTTTAGGAAAGATATTAAAACAAATCCTTAGAGCATACCGTAGACAACTGTGCGAAAATATAGTAGGATTTGGCTTTGTGAACATGTGGACTTATATAAAGGGCTCCTGTATAATATATGTGATCATCTTGAAAGTGTTTGGTTCAAGGCCAAAGTTGGTTATTATAGGTAAGTTTTGTGAGCTGACACATTTCCTTTCCTGATGGCAAAGGGGTGTTTTCAAAGAGCCTGGCTTTGGAGTCACTCTGATCAGGATGTCTGGGTCTACCACTTACTATTTATGAGCACTTGGTCAGTTATTCTTTGGCCTCGGTGTCTGAATCCTCAAAATGGAATAGCCATGTGTGTCCAGCAGGTATCGCATGAGAATTCAGTGAAAGCCTGTCAGCAGTGTCCCTGACATGCTGTGTAACATATTGTTGGTGCTGGATAGGTGTGTCCACACTCCATTCAAATGTGAAGGGAAAGCTGCACCCAGGAAGGAGGGTTGTTTGCAGCCAAAAATATTGACAGAAGAGAAATTCTTCAGAGGATGCAGTTGTACTTCTAACTCCTTAAACAAAAAGTTATCTTACTATCCACTCACACACACAGAATTGAATTGGGAGGTATTTGTCTCTCTTTAACAGACTGCTTTCTATTTGTCAAGAAAAATGAAGTGAAAATGTATTTGTTTTTATATTTTTTGTTCTATGTGCTTTACATCTGAATCCTTTCACTTCATTGATATCATCTCTAACACAAACATTTATTGGCCCTTAGCCAATAAACTTGGGCTTCATGATCTTATTTATCAGAAAAATTTTAATTCATAAGTTAAATGATCATGATATGAAGTCAATTAAATACAGATACAAAGGTCATAATATAATTTGCTTATTTAAATGTGAAATAGTTCTAATTATTTAATTCATAAAATATAAGGAAAAATAGAGTACTCTTAAGCAATAAAAACACAGTATGTGATGGGAGAAATATACAGTATCTTACTATTATAATCAATAAAATAGTATTTACACCATGAGTGAAGTGTATAAAATTAAACACACTAGGACCTAATTGTATTTACAATGTTAAGTTTTAAAATGACCTCTGTTTGCTTACTTCTTTAGTAGAAAACTCAGGAATTTTGCTACAGAGGAAAAATTTCTCAAGAATTTTTTTCTTTTTCTTTTCAAATGAGAAGTTTAATTTTTCTGTTCTTAAGAAACTGACCTCAGAATGCTAAACTAGCTCAAAGAGAATATGAGTAAAGTATTTGTGTTTCATTTGGAAATAAATTGGAAAGAGTTTTAACATTTATAATTTCAACCATTACTTTAACCATAAATATATAATCAAGAAACATTCCAGCATTTAAGTGGGATCATTTGCAAACTATGTTTTGTTATATATGTTGACACCATGTCTATAAGAAATTCAGGAAGCATACATTTAATTTTTAATTATGTATACTTTATTTAGCAGATGAAAACACAGTAAACCATGGAGCTCTAAAGAAGTTCAGCAGACTTACAGGGTAGATTTAAAACTGGGGGAGACACAGAGTCAAAATACTGTGTGTTCTTAACCATGCTTAAACTTGAAATGAAATTTCAAGAGAAAATGTGCCTTGGTAAACATTCTCTAAAGTGAAGCAAAATTCTGATAAATGCATTACTTGATAAGGTTTATATAAAGCATGTCAGAAAATTATACATTTTTATTAGGAGTTTTGGAAGTATTGCTATTTTGTTTCCAAATTCAAGGCACTGTAAACAGTCAGCTCCTCCATTCAAAAATCTGAAAGTTTTCAGATCTGAAGTTTGGATGTTATATAAAATTAGAAACCCACCAGAAGAATCCCATCACTTCAGAAATGGGCAGGTGATCCACATTTGAAGCTGTAAGTTCAACATCCCAGATTGTCAAGTACGCAGGGACACTAATTCCCATTATAAAAAATGACTGTATATTGTCTAAAAATACAATAAATTTCCTACTGACATTTATTTATATGAGAAGTAAGATCAGTTCAGTTCAGTCGCTCAGTCGTGTCTGATTCTGCGACCACATGAACCTCAGCACACCAGGCCTCCCTGTCCATCACTAACTCCTGGAGTTTACCCAAACTCATGTCTTTTGAGTCGGTGATGCTATCTAACCATCTCGTCCTCAGCTTCCCCCTTCTCCTTTTGCGTCCAATCTTTCCCTGTGTCAGGGTCTCTTCCAATGAGTCAGCTCTTCACATGATGTGGTCAAAGTATTGAAGCTTCAGCTTCAGCATCAGTCCTTCCTATAAATATTCAGGGTTGATTTCCTTTAGGATGGACTGGTTTGATCTTGCAGTNTGTATATATATATATATATATACTGGAATAGTACTTAGCCATTAAAAAGGATGAAACAATGCCATTTGCAGCAACATGGATGGACCTGGAGATTGTCGTACCAAATGAAGTAATTCAGACAGAGAAAGAGATAAATGTCATATATCTCTTATATGTAGAATCTAAAAAGAAATGATACAATTGGAATCATTTACAAAACAGAAACTGACTCTCAGAGAACAAACTTGTGGCTACAGGGGGGAAGGGTGGAGGGAGGAACAACTAGGGACTTTGAGACTGACATGTACACACTGCTATATTTAAAATGGATAACCAACAAGGACCTACTGTATACAGCACAGGGAAGGAAACTTTTCTCAATATTCTGTAACAATCTAATTGGGGAAAGAATTTGAAAAAGAAGAGATACATGTATACATATAACTGAATCACTTTGTTGTACATTTGAAACTAACACAGCATTATTAATCAGCTATATTCAAATATAAAATTAAAAGTTTGAAAAAAGCAAAACGTCAAAGATTCTCACCTCTAGAGAAACTATCAGAGTTACCTGGACCTCTCCCCCATTCTCATTCCCACCACACACCCAAAGACTTCATTTTTTAAATATAATTTTATTTTGTAAATTTTGTCTGCGCTGCATCTTCTTTGCCGCAACATGGGCTTCTCGCTAGCTTCAGAGAGTGGGGCTGCTCGCCACTGCAGTGCGGGCTTCTCATTGCCGTGGCTTCTCTTGTCTGAAGCTTTGGCTCTAGGGCGTGGGGCTTCACAGTTGCAGCACAGGGCTCAGCAGTCATGTCTTCAGGGCGCTGGGGCACAGGCTCAACAGTCGTGGTGCTGGGGCTTAGTTGCTCGAGGCATTGGGATCTTCCAGATCAGGGATCGAATGTGTGTCTCCTACACTGGCAGAAGAATTCTTTACCACTCAGCCATTAGGAAAGCCCACCCATCCACTTTCAAACAGGCTCCTCTATGATAGAACAAAAGAGATGTTAAAAAATAAATGTGTTCATGAATTTTGGAAGGAGATAAAACTCATAACCCATCTTACCATGTGGAAAAAGAACAAATGCCAATGTGTGATCCAGGTTCTACTATGCTAGCTGTGACTCTGGGCAAGCTACATAACCTCTTGAACATCTCTTCCTATTGAAAATAAGAAGGATAATAAGTCCCTTACAATCCACTGTGAATGGAATCCATGGTGAGCACTAATTCAGTGACAAGTTTTCTTCCTTTTATTACATGCTTAGTTTATTCCATGGTTCTCCGTGTTTCTCTAATAACCATTTTAAATTCTTTTCTATCTCCCTCCGCAGATAAAAAACTTCCTGCAGATACTTTCCCCAAACCCACAATTTTTCTTCCTTCAATTAATGAAGTCAACCATCAACAGGCTGCAACGTATCTTTGTCTCCTGGAAAAATTTTTCCCTGATGTTATTAAGGTTTCTTGGAAAGAAAAGAATGGCAACAGGGTTCTGCCATCCCAGGAGGGAAATACCATGAAGACCAATGACACATACATGAAGTTCAGCTGGCTGACAGTGACAGAAAACTCCATGAAGAAAGAGCACGTATGTATCGTCAAACATGAGAAAAATCCAGGAAGAAAAGATCAAGAGATTCTTTTTCCTGCAGTGAATGAAGGTATGTGAATATAAACACAAGTATAAATATAACCTCCCTTGGGCTTCCCTAGCGGTTCGGTGGTAACGAATCCACCCGCCAATGCAGGAGACATGGGTTTGAGCCCTGGGTTGGCAAGATCCCCTGGATTAGGAAACACAAACCCACTCCAGTATTTTTGCCTTGGAAATTCTTATCTTTGTCTCCTGGAAAAATTTTTCCCTGATGTTATTAAGGTTTCTTGGAAAGAAAAGAATGGCAACAGGGTTCTGCCATCCCAGGAGGGAAATACCATGAAGACCAATGACACATACATGAAGTTCAGCTGGCTGACAGTGACAGAAAACTCCATGAAGAAAGAGCACGTATGTATCGTCAAACATGAGAAAAATCCAGGAAGAAAAGATCAAGAGATTCTTTTTCCTGCAGTGAATGAAGGTATGTGAATATAAGCACAAGTATAAATATAACCTCCCTTGGGCTTCCCTAGCGGTTCAGTGGTAACGAATCCACCCGCCAATGCAGGAGACATGGGTTTGAGCCCTGGGTTGGCAAGATCCCCTGGATTAGGAAACACAAACCCACTCCAGTATTTTTGCCTTGGAAATTCCAGACAGAGGAGCCTGGGTCACAAAAGAAGAGTCAGACACAACTTAGCAACTAAACAACAATAACCTCCCAGAATACAGTTTTTCACAGACAATACCCCAACTTTTCTGTCAAGTCAAATAAACACGTCTTTCTAAGATATTGTTATGTTTAATGGTAGCATAAATGTCCTGAAATTTCCACTAGAATTAAAATAGCACAGTCAAGGGAACATTAAAATAAAAAAGAAAAAATAATTTTTAAGCTTTCTCAGCCTGTTTCATCTTCCAAAATATTACAGTCACAATGATGATTTTAGGGTCTTTGTATGGATTAAATGAAAGAAAATATATGAAAGTGTCTAGCAACTTAGTGCACAACAAATTTGCAAAAAGAAATTTCACTTTTGATTGTCTTGGTTGATCAGGAAATAAGAACATTTATATATCTTTCAGGAATGCTCTACTCACCAAGCAGTCATTCTCACTTTAATCCTGCTTTTACTCAAGTATAAGTCAGAAACAGTGGGTTATTAAATAAAAAATGATGTTCTTATGAAGAAGCCAGATTGCAGTTCAACAAAAAGTATTGAGTTGGCTAAAAAGTGAATTGGGGTTTTCAAAAAAAGGTAAGGAAAAAAACTGAAAAAACCTTTTGAACAAACGAAAAAAAAAAATTAACGCCGCAAGTTTAATAAGGGCCTAAGTAAAAATTTGAACTTAATTAACAACCTGAAATTAAAATTTGTAATTAAAGATCGGGTGAGACTAAAGTGTGCAAACTTACTCCCACTGTACATAATAAATGTATTTCTTGCTATTAGAAAAGGTCTTTCAAGATACTTTTGTTGTAGCCCTAGCACATGCTAGGTCTGGAGGAATGTGTGGATGGACACACTCGGGTGAATTACTGTCCTAGGAGGATGCACTACAGTCAAGAGAATATACACTTTTCTGGATGACTCAGGGTCACTCGTGATCCAGGCATGACATCCCAAAGCAGCCCCTGTGAGCAGATGCTGGACGTGTCCACGCGGTGGGGGCAAAGTGCTGGGTGTATCTTGACCTTGACGTTGGTCCTCTAACTCACTGAACTCAGGGCTTAACATCTGAGTAATTCACCTAACAGACCACAGGCCACAGCGCCCATCAGAGGAATCACTGTGTGCTTTTCCCTGTGGTTAGGAAGCCTTTTTAAGCAGTGGGAACCAAGCATATAAAATGTGCACAGACGTTGGCTGTGCACCAGTCTGAATTTCTGAAGTAAGTCTTTATCTTCTCTGGTTCTTAGTTTGTCCAATGATCAAATCAAGCTTGAACATTTGCCTTGGCTTTGTCCTGGGACTGCAATGAAGAGCAAATGAAATAAAGTCAGCAAAAAATTGCATTCCAAAACATAAATGGATCTACTTATTCATGCATCTACTGTATTGTTTATATTCTTTCTTTAAACTAATCAACAGTAAGATTACAGAAATGACCCTAAATTTCTATTTCCTCTCATTCTTGTCTAAGAAATACATAATAAACAAATTTGCTAAGTGCAGTTTAATATAATCATGGCTCTAACTGTCCTATTAGGTTTTCATTTTTCTGTGATTAAGGAAAAATAAAAAGGGTAGTAAGTTTCATGGTGATAATTACCATAGGGGAGACAAGTTCCCTTTTATCATGTGTGATACTTCGCACTTAATTTCTGAAATAAATGTTTCCCATGGGTTTCATGGCCATATAGCTAAAGAGGGCATTTCTGTAAATTTCATTCTTTAGTAAATTTCTAATGCTATTTTTGGGAAGTTTTTTGTTTTTGATAAAAGTTAAGAATATTATATGGGCTTCTTTGGTGGTTCAGATGGTAAAGAATCTCCCTGCAATGTAGGAGAATAGGATTCTATTCCTGGGTTGGGAAGATACTTTGGAGAAGAGAATGACAACCCACTACAATACTCTTGCCTGGAGAATCCCATGGACAGAGGAGCCTGATGGGCTACAGTCTATGGGGATGCAAAAAGTCAGACACGACTTAGTGACTAAACAACATCGTCTGAAAACCACCATTTTGTTACATGGGATTTTCTATGTGGATTTGAAGCATGTTAGCTTTTAACATTCTTGAAGTACCTAATCATAAGGTAANATATACAGCCTTGATGTTCTCCTTTCCTGGTTTGGAACCAGTCTGTTGTTCCATGTCCAGTTCTAACCATTGCTTCTTGACCAGCATACAGATTTCTCAGGAAGCAGGTAAGGTGGTCTGCTATTCCCATCTCTTTAAGAATTTTCCACAGTTTGTTGTGATCCACACAAAGGCTTTAGCATAGAAGTAGATATTTTTCTGAAATTCTCTAGCTTTTTCTATATATGTTGGCAATTTGATCTCTGGTTCCTATGCCTTTTCTAAAACCAGTTTGAACATCCAGAATTTCTTGGTTCATGTGCTGTTGAAGCCTAGCTTGGAGGATTTTGAGCATGACCCTGCTAGCATGTGAAATTATTGCAATTGTGCAGTAGTTTGAACATTCTTTTGCATTGCCCTCCTTTGGGACTGGAGTGAACACTGATCTTTTCCAGTCCTGTGTCCACTGCTGAGTTTTCCAAATTTTCTGACATATTGAGTGCAGCACTTTAACAGCATCATCTTTTAGGATTTGAAATGGCTCTGCTGGAATTCTATCACATCCACTTGGAAGCACAAATCATGAAGTGATTTTTGAATGGATAGAAAACTAATCAGGTCCAAGTTTTTGACCAGTCTTGACTGAGAAAGAGGTCTTAGTATACACTGCAGTTTATGCTGAAATTTTTTTACTTTTTCACCTCAATCAATTCATAGTAATAAGAGGTTTGTTCATCTTTAGTGAACATAGTCACTGCAAGCAAAAGAAATAAAGTCACAAACAACTTTTTCTGGTTGTGCTGGGTCTTCGTTATTCTCTGCAGGCTTCCTCTGGTTGTGGTCAGCGGGGACTACTCTTCTTTGAGGTGCTTGGATTTCTCATCGCAATGGCTTCTTGTGCCGTGGAGCATGGGCTAAGTAGTTGTGGGACATGGGCTTAGTTGCCTTGTGGCATGTGGAATCTTTCAGACCAGAGATTGAAACCATGTCCCCTGGATTGGCAGATGGATTCCCACCCACTGTTCCATCAAGGAAGTCCCAGAGAGAGTGTTTTAAGACACATTAAGGTCAGTTCTTGAGGATGATTATATTAATATTTTCACTCTTGGCATTTACTGCAAAGCTTTTACAGCTCAAATTCATTTTTTATAGTGAAAACTGATCTCAATGAGGGCATAAAATGGCATACCAGAACCAAATCCATATGGATAAGAACATATCCAGAAGAAAAGGAATAAACCAAAAAACCACTGTGACTCTGTTTTCCTGGATCCATTT